CTCTGAGTCACCCTTTTATCCTCTCTGAGCCACCCTTTTGTCCTCTCTGAGCCACCCTTTTGTCCTCTCTGAGCCGCCCTTTTGTCCTCTCTGAGCCACCCTTTTGTCCTCTCTGAGCCACCCTTTTGTCCTCTCTGAACCACCCTTTTGTCCTCTCTGACCCACCCTTTTGTCCTCTCTGACCCACCCTTTTGTCCTCTCTGAGCCACCCTTTTGTCCTCTCTGAGCCACCCTTTTGTCCTCTCTGAGCCACCCTTTTGTCCTCTCTGAGCCACCCTTTTGTCCTCTCTGAGCCACCCTTTTGTCCTCTCTGAACCACCCTTTTGTCCTCTCTGACCCACCCTTTTGTCCTCTCTGACCCACCCTTTTGTCCTCTCTGAGCCACCCTTTTGTCCTCTCTGAGCCACCCTTTTGTCCTCTCTGAGCCACCCTTTTGTCCTCTCTGAGCCACCCTTTTGTCCTCTCTGAGCCACCCTTTTGTCCTCTCTGAGCCACCCTTTTGTCCTCTCTGAGCCACCCTTTTGTCCTCTCTGAGCCACCCTTTTGTCCTCTCTGAGCCACCCTTTTGTCCTCTCTGAGCCACCCTTTTGTCCTCTCTGAGCCACCCTTTTGTCCTCTCTGAGCCACCCTTTTGTCCTCTCTGAGCCACCCTTTTGTCCTCTCTGAGCCACCCTTTTGTCCTCTCTGAGCCACCCTTTTGTCCTCTCTGAGCCACCCTTTTGTCCTCTCTGAGCCACCCTTTTGTCCTCTCTGAGCCACCCTTTTGTCCTCTCTGAGCCACCCTTTTGTCCTCTCTGAGCCACCCTTTTGTCCTCTCTGAGCACCCTTTGTCCTCTCTGAACCACCCTTTTGTCCTCTCTGAGCCACCCTTTTGTCCTCTCTGAGCCGCCCTTTTGTCCTCTCTGAGCCACCCTTTTGTCCTCTCTGAGCCACCCTTTTGTCCTCTCTGAACCACCCTTTTGTCCTCTCTGACCCACCCTTTTGTCCTCTCTGACCCACCCTTTTGTCCTCTCTGAGCCACCCTTTTGTCCTCTCTGACCCACCCTTTTGTCCTCTCTGAGCCACCCTTTTGTCCTCTCTGAGCCACCCTTTTGTCCTCTCTGAGCCACCCTTTTGTCCTCTCTGAACCACCCTTTTGTCCTCTCTGAGCCACCCTTTTGTCCTCTCTGAGCCACCCTTTTGTCCTCTCTGAGCCACCCTTTTGTCCTCTCTGAGCCACCCTTTTGTCCTCTCTGAGCCACCCTTTTGTCCTCTCTGAGCCACCCTTTTGTCCTCTCTGAGCCACCCTTTTGTCCTCTCTGAGCCACCCTTTTGTCCTCTCTGAACCACCCTTTTGTCCTCTCTGAGCCACCCTTTTGTCCTCTCTGAGCCACCCTTTTGTCCTCTCTGAGCCACCCTTTTGTCCTCTCTGAGCCACCCTTTTGTCCTCTCTGAGCCACCCTTTTGTCCTCTCTGAGCCACCCTTTTGTCCTCTCTGAGTCACCCTTTTGTCCTCTCTGAACCACCCTTTTGTCCTCTCTGAGCCACCCTTTTGTCCTCTCTGAGCCGCCCTTTTGTCCTCTCTGAGCCACCCTTTTGTCCTCTCTGAGCCACCCTTTTGTCCTCTCTGAACCACCCTTTTGTCCTCTCTGACCCACCCTTTTGTCCTCTCTGACCCACCCTTTTGTCCTCTCTGAGCCACCCTTTTGTCCTCTCTGACCCACCCTTTTGTCCTCTCTGAGCCACCCTTTTGTCCTCTCTGAGCCACCCTTTTGTCCTCTCTGAGCCACCCTTTTGTCCTCTCTGAACCACCCTTTTGTCCTCTCTGACCCACCCTTTTGTCCTCTCTGAGCCACCCTTTTGTCCTCTCTGAGCCGCCCTTTTGTCCTCTCTGAGCCACCCTTTTGTCCTCTCTGAGCCACCCTTTTGTCCTCTCTGAACCACCCTTTTGTCCTCTCTGACCCACCCTTTTGTCCTCTCTGACCCACCCTTTTGTCCTCTCTGAGCCACCCTTTTGTCCTCTCTGAGCCACCCTTTTGTCCTCTCTGAGCCACCCTTTTGTCCTCTCTGAGCCACCCTTTTGTCCTCTCTGAGCCACCCTTTTGTCCTCTCTGAACCACCCTTTTGTCCTCTCTGAGCCACCCTTTTGTCCTCTCTGAGCCACCCTTTTGTCCTCTCTGAGCCACCCTTTTGTCCTCTCTGAGCCACCCTTTTGTCCTCTCTGAGCCACCCTTTTGTCCTCTCTGAGCCACCCTTTTGTCCTCTCTGAGCCGCCCTTTTGTCCTCTTTGAGCCACCCTTTTGTCCTCTCTGAGCCACCCTTTTGTCCTCTCTGAACCACCCTTTTGTCCTCTCTGACCCACCCTTTTGTCCTCTCTGACCCACCCTTTTGTCCTCTCTGAGCCACCCTTTTGTCCTCTCTGAGCCACCCTTTTGTCCTCTCTGAGCCACCCTTTTGTCCTCTCTGAGCCACCCTTTTGTCCTCTCTGAGCCACCCTTTTGTCCTCTCTGAGCCACCCTTTTGTCCTCTCTGAGCCACCCTTTTGTCCTCTCTGAGCCACCCTTTTGTCCTCTCTGAGCCACCCTTTTGTCCTCTCTGAGCCACCCTTTTGTCCTCTCTGAGCCACCCTTTTGTCCTCTCTGAGCCACCCTTTTGTCCTCTCTGAGCCACCCTTTTGTCCTCTCTGAGCCACCCTTTTGTCCTCTCTGAGCCGCCCTTTTGTCCTCTTTGAGCCACCCTTTTGTCCTCTCTGAGCCACCCTTTTGTCCTCTCTGAACCACCCTTTTGTCCTCTCTGACCCACCCTTTTGTCCTCTCTGACCCACCCTTTTGTCCTCTCTGAGCCACCCTTTTGTCCTCTCTGAGCCACCCTTTTGTCCTCTCTGAGCCACCCTTTTGTCCTCTCTGAGCCACCCTTTTGTCCTCTCTGAGCCACCCTTTTGTCCTCTCTGAGCCACCCTTTTGTCCTCTCTGAGCCACCCTTTTGTCCTCTCTGAGCCACCCTTTTGTCCTCTCTGAGTCACCCTTTTGTCCTCTCTGAACCACCCTTTTGTCCTCTCTGAGCCACCCTTTTGTCCTCTCTGACCCACCCTTTTGTCCTCTCTGAGCCACCCTTTTGTCCTCTCTGAGCCACCCTTTTGTCCTCTCTGAGCCACCCTTTTGTCCTCTCTGAACCACCCTTTTGTCCTCTCTGACCCACCCTTTTGTCCTCTCTGAGCCACCCTTTTGTCCTCTCTGAGCCACCCTTTTGTCCTCTCTGAGCCACCCTTTTGTCCTCTCTGAGCCACCCTTTTGTCCTCTCTGAGCCACCCTTTTGTCCTCTCTGAACCACCCTTTTGTCCTCTCTGACCCACCCTTTTGTCCTCTCTGAGCCACCCTTTTGTCCTCTCTGAGCCACCCTTTTGTCCTCTCTGAGCCACCCTTTTGTCCTCTCTGAGCCACCCTTTTGTCCTCTCTGAGTCACCCTTTTGTCCTCTCTGAGCCACCCTTTTGTCCTCTCTGAGCCACCCTTTTGTCCTCTCTGAGCCGCCCTTTTGTCCTCTCTGAGCCGCCCTTTTGTCCTCTCTGAGCCACCCTTTTGTCCTCTCTGAGCCACCCTTTTGTCCTCTCTGAGCCACCCTTTTGTCCTCTCTGAGCCACCCTTTTGTCCTCTCTGAGCCACCCTTTTGTCCTCTCTGAGCCACCCTTTTGTCCTCTCTGAACCACCCTTTTGTCCTCTCTGACCCACCCTTTTGTCCTCTCTGACCCACCCTTTTGTCCTCTCTGAGCCACCCTTTTGTCCTCTCTGAGCCACCCTTTTGTCCTCTCTGAGCCACCCTTTTGTCCTCTCTGAGCCACCCTTTTGTCCTCTCTGAGCCACCCTTTTGTCCTCTATGAGCCACCCTTTTGTCCTCTCTGAGCCACCCTTTTGTCCTCTCTGAGCCACCCTTTTGTCCTCTCTGAGCCACCCTTTTGTCCTCTCTGAGTCACCCTTTTGTCCTCTCTGAACCACCCTTTTGTCCTCTCTGAGCCACCCTTTTGTCCTCTCTGAGCTGCCCTTTTGTCCTCTCTGAGCCACCCTTTTGTCCTCTCTGAGCCACCCTTTTGTCCTCTCTGAACCACCGTTTTGTCCTCTCTGAGCCACCCTTTTGTCCTCTCTGAGCCACCCTTTTGTCCTCTCTGAGCCGCCTTTTTGTCCTCTCCGAGCCACCCTTTTGTCCTCTCTGAGCCACCCTTTTGTCCTCTCTGAGCCGCCCTTTTGTCCTCTCTGAACCACCCTTTTGTCCTCTCTGAACTACCCTTTTGTCCTCTCGGAACCACCCTTTTGTCCTCTCTGAACTACCCTTTTGTCCTCTCTGAACCACCCTTTTGTCCTCTCTGAGCCACCCTTTTGTCCTCTCTGAGCCGCCCTTTTGTCCTCTCTGAGCCGCCCTTTTGTCCTCTCTGAGCCGCCCTTTTGTCCTCTCTGAACCACCCTTTTGTCCTCTCTGAACCACCCTTTTGTCCTCTCTGAGCCACCCTTTTGTCCTCTCTGAGCCACCCTTTTGTCCTCTCTGAGCCGCCCTTTTGTCCTCTCTGAGCCGCCCTTTTGTCCTCTCTGAGCCGCCCTTTTGTCCTCTCTGAACCATCCTTTTGTCCTCTCTGAACCACCCTTTTGTCCTCTTGGAACCACCCTCTCCTCCTCCTTCGCTCTTCCTCCTTGCCTCCTCCTCCCCTTACTCTCCCTCTCCTTGCGGCGTCCAGCTAGCGACTTGGGCCTGCAGGGCGTGGACAAGCCCTGCGCTCTGAACCCCTCCCCCCCCTCCCTCCCCTCCTCCCCTCCCCCTCGTGGCGCCGCTCACAGCTGAGCGACTTGGGGCTGAAGGACGTGGAGGAGCCCTCGCTGCACGAGGTGCCGCTTCCTGGAATCTTCTCAGACGACCAGCAGTTCACCCTGCTGCTCAAGGTGCGCCCAGTTTGTCCTCCTTCCTTCTTCCTCCTTCCCCTTCCTGCGTCTCGCCTCGTAATGCCTTGCACTGTCGTTCACTTTGCTGAGAAGCACTGATGCAATCACTGGTGGGTGCTCGGGTGAGTGAGTTGATGGTGGCGCTCGTGCTGGCAGGCCGTTGCTTCCCCTTGGCCCTGCTGCTGCCACCACCCTCCCTCCGCCACACCCCTGAAGCCCCTCACTCATCCTGCCCCAAGTTGCCCTTCCTCTTCCCATGCACCCCACCCTGCCCTGCCTCTTTCATTCCACACGTTTCCACCCCGCAGGCCCTACTTCCTGCACGTATCCCTCTGTTCCTTCTAAATCTCTGCCCGTTGCATGAGTGCTCTCAACAGCCTGCTCGGACCCTACACTTCTCTCCCCCCACCTGCTGCCCACCCCCACCCCGCCAGGTGGTGCAGGCTCTGCTGCACGAGGGCCGCCCCATGGAAGCTGAGCGCCTCGTCGAAACCGCTCTTTCGCGGAACCTTCCCAAGCCCATGCGGAAGCAGCTGCAGTCAGCCATTGCTGGTGAGCGCCCGGTCCCTCCCTTGGCCATCTCCTCTGTCCCTCCCTTGGCCATCTCCTCTGTCCCTCCCTTGGCCATCTCCTCTGTCCCTCCCTTGGCCATCTCCTCTGTCCCTCCCTTGGCCATCTCCTCTGTCCCTCCCTTGGCCATCTCCTCTGTCCCTCCCTTGGCCATCTCCTCTGTCCCTCCCTTGGCCATCTCCTCTGTCCCTCCCTTGGCCATCTCCTCTGTCCCTCCCTTGGCCATCTCCTCTGTCCCTCCCTTGGCCATCTCCTATGTCCCTCCCTTGGCCATCTCCTCTGCTGCTCCATGCTGCTGTTTCCCTCTCCCTCCCATGCCCTCACCTCCCGTCCTCCCTGCGGCCATGCCACTGTGCTTGCATCTCATGGGCGTGCAGAGGAGGCGAGTGGCATGCTGCAGTTCGAGGTGGCGCGGGCCATCATCAGCGAGCAGCCTCACAGCATCCGCGGCTGGTCGCTCTTCCACTCCCTCACCCTCCGGTGCGCTCTGTGCTCTCTCTCTCTCTCTCTCATGTACACATGTACCCCACTCTTTCGTTTGCGCCCACTCTGATGGATTGAACAAGATGCCAAGATTTAGGGGACAGGGACCACTGTGTGTATTTGTCAGATGCACACACACACACCCACACGCCCACCCAACCACAACCACACAGATCCAACCACACACACACCCATGCACATCCAAAGCTCCATCACCACAAGCACAGGAGTCACGCATTAGACCTCCTTCCGCCCACCACGGTTGCGCCCCTTCCCCCCGTGCAGGGGCACGGAGAGCAACGACCGGCGGGCCAAGTTCCTGCAGCAGATGCGCATGCGGCACCCGGTGTGCGTGGCGGCCATGCTGGTGTCGGGCCACCACCATGCGCTGCGCGGCCACATGCAGGGCGCCTGCCGCGAGTACCTGCGCGCCCACCGCCTGCACCCCCACGACCCCCTCATCTGCCTCTGCTGCGGTGCGCTGGGAGGGGCTTTCAGGGCGGTGCTGTGGTGAGGAGCAATGGGAAGGGGGTGGGGGAGGAAGCGGGGAGAAGGGGGGATGTTGTCATGGGTGTAGCTCTGGGAGCTGTCGTCTGCACTGTTCCTACCAGCTCATGTGTGTTTCACTACCGCAACTTTCTACAATCCTACCCTCACCCCTCTCATCCCCCTCACCCCTCTCATCCCCCTCACCCCTCTCATCCCCCTCATCCCTCTCAACCCCCTCACCCGTCTCATCCCCCTCATCCCTCTCATCCCCCTTTCCCTCCCACACCGCACACCCTCGCTGCCACCAGGAGTGGCGCTGCTGAATCTCTCCCTGGGCTCGCGCCTGCGTGACCGCAGCCAGTGTGTGCTGCAGGGCATGGCGCTGCTGCAGCAGTACGCCCAGCTATCAGGCGACACTCAGGTGAGGGCATCTTAGGAGGAGGCCAATGGGTACTCCATTTGAACCCTCAACAAGCTCGATTGGTGATGTGCGCTCCCAAGTGGACCCGCCTTCTGCTCCCCTTGTCATCTCCTTCCCATGGCCAGCATTTCCTGTTTGGTTCCCTGTGGCACATGTCAGGAGGTGCATTTCAACCTGGGTCGTGCGTTCCACCATGTGGGTCTGCTGCACCTCGCTGTCGACCACTACAAGCGCGTTCTCTCCTCCGCCACTCCACATCGGCACCATGCCACGGCCGAGCAGCTGGGATTGAGAAGCCGCAGAAGCAGGGAGGTTAGAGATCAGGAAGGGCAGGAATATGACGCAGGGTTGAAACGAGAAGCAGCCCATAACTTGGTAGCCATTTACAGAAATAGCGGAGCTGATGCGTTAGCCAGACAAATCATGAGAAGCTATCTGACCATTTGAGTTTGATGTAGGGCGTTGGCTCGCTAAAGTTCGTACGGTAATGAAAAACATCAATAGCACGGTTGATTAATAAAAATTGTGTTGTGTACTGAAATTACTCTATACGTTTCAATAACCAATGTAATGGAGACTGTTCTAAACCCTGCGTATTTTCCACATGTGTTACTACTACGAGGTAGCTCGGTAACATCTGAACGTTTATTGTTTATCATAATTATACAAGCTTTTTCAGAATCACTGTACCGAATCGTAACCAGTTCCGTAATTGAGAAACATAACAGTTGGCATAACTTTCGAGCAAGCTCGCTATCGTTTTCGTTTTAGATTGTTCGACAAATCCGATTGGCTTACGACTGTTAGTACGATCAGAAAGCCGGGAATAGGTGCAAGACACGTGTCCTGGATTGTTCTCGTCATGTTCATTTCTACGCGAGAGTACAGATTAAATTTCAATGTTCTTGTTATGAATGAACTTGCAGAGTGCGCAGTAAAACGAATAACGAGAATGTTGAATTACAGAATGACGATACAAGGAAAGTGACGAGACCTAAATAGGGGGTCCTAGCTAAGCGGAGAGGTAGGGCGAAGATGGCTCGGTGATGGTTGCGATTGGTGCGGAGGCCGACTCGGGAGTGGTTCGGTGCGACGAAATAGGCAGAACAGGTTCGTCGCGTGACCCTCGGGATGTCCTCGCTAACGAGTGCCTCAGTAAGGATTTATAAATCCTTACACTCTCCCACCTTCTAAATAACGCAGCCCTGTACTGAAAACAGACCCCACACTAGCAAGGATGCCGTAGATCTCCTCTTCAGCTGAATCCGACGGCCGAAATGCCTTTGACAATAATTTTGAAAAGGTTGGAATGTAGGCCGTCGATGAAGTCCGATTTCGATCTGACGGTCGACGATGAACTGGCCCAAATGAAGTTGAAGGTTGGAATGTGGGCCGTAGATCGAGCAGGTGTTAATCTGACGGTCGAAAGCTGACGCAAGTTTGGATGTGATGCCATCGCAGGCCATCGCATTCTTCCTGTCCCATACCATTCAATCACACCAACTTAGTTAGTCACATGGGCCATTACCTCAACACACCCCACCCACCCCACCCTACCCCACCGCACACCACCCCTTCCCCCGCCAGGGCATGGGCATACTAGCAGCGGCGCTATTCACAATGGCCAAACGAGCTCTTTTCAACACAGCCTTCCAACACTGGGAGCCCCATACACACACACTCTCCCCATGCAGATACAGCAGGAGACACCCTCCCTCCAACCCACCCCATCCCACTCCACCCCTGCAGGGCATGGGCATACTAGCAGCGGCGCTATTCACCATGGCCATCGGGGCTCTCTTCAACGCAGCCTTCCCCTCGCCCCCCTTCGACGAAGGCGCTATTGCCTTCGTGCCGCCCCAAGCCGACTACGCGTGGCGAGTGGTGCTGGCAGCGGGGGCGGTGCCGGCAAAGCTCACCTTCTATTTTCGAATGACCATGCTGGAGACCCCGAGGTTTACCACGCTCGTGCAGAGGAATGCCAAGCAGGCTGCACGGGACATGGGGCAGGTGGGTAGGTGGGGTTGTGTGGAGGGGTTGGGTGGTGCGGTTGGGTGGGGTGCGGTTGGGTGGGGTGCGGTTGGGTGGAATCTTGAGACGTCCGAAAAACGCTTTGACGGGTGCGTAATGCTGTCTGCATGAGGCTCTTCAATTGCTCCCATTGCCCTTCCTCCCTTTGCTGAGGGTATTGCACTGTCTCATTGCTGTCCTACTCCCACTCCTACTCCCATGCCGCAACCAATCCCAACCTCGTCATTGTAACGAGGTGACTTTGAGTCGACTCAACAGTCACCTCGTTACAATGGCACACAACACTTTGAACGAGACTCCCTTTTCTGCCATCCACCCCTCTGCCGCCCCCTTACCTCCTTCCCCTCTTCCTTCCTCCTCCAGGTGTTTCACTCGGCCTTCGAGGAAGCAGAAGTGGAAATCGAGCTAGCAACAGCCCCTGTGCGAACATACAGCCTGCTGTCGCGCGAGTTCCTGCACCACCACGGCGTGCACCTGCTGGCCACGGCAGCCTGCTGGTTCTTGGTTGACACGGCCTACTACTCGCAAAACCTCTTGAATCGGGACCTCTTCACCGCCATTGGATGGGTCGCGCCGCCCTACAGCATGAACGCTCTCACTGAGATGTACGAGCTCTCGAAAGCTACGGTGAGTGGCATGTGGGGGGAACGGGGGGAAAGGGGGGAAAGGGAGGCTGTTCAGGTGACAGCATGATCGCTCTGCAGGAGATGTACGAGCTCTCCCAGGCCACGGTGAGTGGCGTTGCAATGGAGCAACAGGGGGGTTGGGGAGTTGGGAGAAAGGGGCGAGGCGGGGAGAGAGGGGCTGTTGGGGTGACAGCATGAGCGCGCAAAGGAAGATGCACGAGCTGTCTAAGGCCACGGTGAGAGGCAGGCACGGGGAGAAGTTTTGGAAAGTAACTGTAGTCACATCCAGAAAGCAAAGCACACCAATCATACAGTATCCCAGAATGTCTTTTGAGACGGCTCAAAAGCAGGCAGGGGGAGGAGTTTTAAAAGGTAACTCTAGTCACATCCAGAAAGCACACCAATCATACAGTATCCCAGATTGTTCCCTACCCTCTCCCCCCTGTTTCTCTGCTCCCTTCTCCTCCCAGGCGCTCATGACCCTCTGTGCCACGCTCCTCGGGTACTGGGTAACAGTCTTCACAGTCGACAAACTGGGCCGGGTGTTTGTACAGCTACAGGGTTTCTTCTTCATGACCATATTCATGGGCCCCTTTGCCGGATTCTACCCCAAGTTACACGTGTGAAGATTATAGATTGAACAAGTGATTGTATTAGAGGAGAAACCTAGCATACATAGTTGGAAGGAAAGGTTGGAAGGGAAGGATGAAGGTGGCCATAGGTTGGGTTGACCTTACTTGGGGGGGTGAGGCAACCATAGGTCAAGTGGGTTGGGTTGCCCACACTTTGTAGAAGTGAGGCAACCCTAGGCCCACTTGGCTTGAGGTGACCTCAATTGTGGGAAGTGATGGCCAAGATCTTATCTTCCCTGGCAAAAGATAAGCCCGCACGCCTCGTGATGCACAGTCGCTGACTAAGCGGCGTAAAAGCACGGTTTCCGGTACTAAGAACTCAAACTTCTGGAATAAAAGACCCCCCCGTTCCTTTAAATAGACAGTGTACAGCACTGTATAATGTTTTATAAGAGTACATGGGTCTTATCTATTTCCATCCTCCATGTTGTTCACCCTAGCCTTTTTAACTGAATTTTTATAAAGTCCCCCGGGTCTTATATACGGGAAAATACGGTAGTGTTAAGGCTCCCCATTGCCCACAGGAGAAGCCTACACAGCTGCAAAGGCTTAATGGAAGGTTCCAGGCCAAGACAAAGCTGAATCGGCCTCGGATAAATCCTTCTAACCCAACTCAGTTGAAAACTGGTATGGAGTCAGCAGCTTCGAGCGCAGGACCGAGGGATGATCTATTCGACGTACCCTACGATCCTATAAGCGAGACCATCTACGGTTACTCGGAGCAGCAACAACCACTACTACTCGAGGTGATCTGCAACGGGCGACGCCTCCAGGCACTAGTAGACAGTGGTGCATCCCACTCGGTGTGCGACCGCGGGACGTTGGAGAAAATTGGAGAACCTTCGGAGGAGACCAAGTTTACGGCAACGATGGTGGACGGTACGAAACTTCCCATCCACGGCGAAGCATCACTGCAGCTGCACATAGGGGCGCTGTGGTGGAAGCCGACGTTGCCGATCACGAATATCAAAGGTCTAGATTTCATCTTGGGGCGAGATTTCCTGAAGCGGTTCAACCCCGAGATCGACTGGGTCAACAGGAAGGCGTGCATCTACAACAACGGGAAACGAGTGGAGCTGCGAAGCTGGACAGATACAGGGAGTGTTCCTGAAACAACACTGGCACGGTTTGAACAGACGGTGAACGAGAGTAACACGGGTTATTAAGCACTAGTTATGGCAGCAGCAGAGGAGGAGAAGCCGAACACAGAGCTACCTGCAGCAGTGAAGGAGGTCTTGGAGCAGTACAAGGATATAATGCCCGACGACCTACCTGCAGGCGTACCTCCAGCACGCACCCACGAGCACGAGATCGTGGAGGAACCAGGTGCGAAACCCGTCTCACGTGCACCATACCGACTGAGTCCGACTGAACTGACAGACATGAAGAAACAGATAGAGTATCTACTGGACAGACAACTGATCCGCCCATCCACCTCTCCCTACGGTGCATCAGTTCTCTTCACTCCAAAACCAGACAGCAGTCTACGGATGTGCATCGACTACCGCGCACTGAACAAACAGACAGTAAAAAACAAATACCCCATACCGCGCATCGACGACCTTCTGGATCAACTGCGTGGTGCAACAGTCTTTTCGAAGCTGGACCTACGGTCGGGTTACTGGCAGAACAAGATGGCGGACAACTCGATTTACAAGACGGCGTTCCGTACCAGATACGGCTCCTACGAATACTTGGTGATGCCGTTCGGACTCTGCAACGCACCAGCAACGTTCCAGGCGGAGATGACTCACATCTTACGGCCCCTGTTGGACGAATGCGTGGTGGTGTACCTGGACGACATTCTCATCTACTCCAAGAACACGAAGGAGCACGTGGAGCATCTACGGAAGGTGTTCGAGATCCTGCGGAAAAACAAGTTCTACGTGAAGCTGTCGAAGAGCGACTTCGCGCTGAAGAAGGTGCAATTTCTCGGGCACGTGGTGAGTGCCGAGGGAGTACACGTGGACCCGCGGAAGATCAAAGCCGTGAAGAAGTGGAAAGTACCGGAGAACGTGAAGGAGTTGCAGCAGTTCCTAGGCTTTGCCAACTACTACAACAGGTTCGTGCCGCAGTACGCCAAGATAGCAGCGCCACTGACCGATCTACTGAAAAAGGATACACCCTACAAATGGGATACTCCTCATCAGCAAGCCATGGAGCAGCTACAGACAGCACTGACTACAGCGCCAGTACTCATCCTACCAGATCCAGACAAGGACTTGTCAAACTCTTATACTATAGTCTGTGTAAGCTGTAGTGGGGTAGACACTATAGGGTACAACACTTCTAGGTTTCCTACTTGTACCCACCTACTTTCTAGTTCATTCATCCCTCATTTCTTCACATGGTATAGAGCAGGTTCCCAAGTGGGAACGCTTCCTTGGGCCCACCACTGAAACTTTTTTTTCTGACCGGAGCGACAGTCGCTCCTGCCCGAGGCGCGCCTTGTGGGCTGCCCTTCTGTCGAGCTCTCTTAAAGGCCCCTCTCACGGCCCCTCGCGCCACCCTTAGCGGCCCCGTCGCCGCCCCTAGCGGCCCCGTCGCCGCCCTTCCAGGCCCCTCGCGGCCCCTAGCGGCCCCGTCGCCGCCCCTACGCGGCCCCGTCGCCGCCCCTAGCGGCCCTGTCGCCGCCCCTAGCGGCCCCGTTGCCGCCTCCTTCCCTACGAGGCCCCGTTGCCGCCCCTACGCGGCCCCGTCGCCGCCCCTAGCGGCCCCGTCGCCGCCCCTACGCGACCCCGTCGCCGCCCCTAGCGGCCCCGTAGCCGCTCCCCTCCCTACGCGGCCCCGTCGCCAACCCTACGCGGCCCCGTCGCCGCCCCTACGCGGCCCCGTCGCCGCCCCTAGCGGCCCCGTCGCCGCTCCCCTCCCTACGCGGCCCCGTCGCCGCCCCTAGCGGCCCCGTCGCCGCTCCCCTCCCTACGCCTGCCCTTCTCGCCACTGGTGAGCACTGCCCTGCCCGTACTGCTGTTACTGCTGCTCTTACTGCTGCTGCTCTTTCTACTGCTACTGCTGCTCCTGGCGTGGCCAGATGCAGCTCCAGCGTCGCCCGCGTGAGTCCCTCACCCCCCAACAGCTTCGTGAGTGGTACGCTAGTTGGGGTTGTCGGGGTGGCCGTAGTGGGAGTCGTCCTGGAGTGAGTCGTTCCACAGCTGCTTGTAGTGGCCAGGTGCAGCTGCAGCGTCGCCCGCGTGAGTCCCTCACCCCCCAACAGCTTCGTGAGTGGTACGCTAGTTGGGGTTGTCGGGGTGGCCGTGGTGGGAGTCGTCCTGGAGTGAGTAGTTCGGCAGCTACTTGTAGTGGCCAGGTGCAGCCTCAGCGTCGTCCGCGAGTGGTCCTTTCGCCCCAGCAGCTTCGTGAGTGGTACGCTCAGCGTGACGGGTCACGGGGTACTGCTCGCTGTCCGTACGTCATTCGCACTGGTGCTCGGACTGGTCAGCCTTGCGGGACGTTTGGTCACGCAGAGTCCCACTGCTTCGCCAGTCTGAGCGACGCCTGGCGTACGGCGTTTGGCGACGTGGCTGAGCTCCCCGACTGGGTGGAGCTGCTTCGGCTGCGGGTAGATATCTATACTCTTGACTATGATGCTATCCTCACTGCCATGTATGCATTGCCTACTAGTGATGAGGGTGACTGTTACCTGTGTGTTCCGCCTGACCCGGGCATTGAGGCTGCTGCTCTAGGTGCTGGTGAGGCTGCTGCTCTAGGTGCTAGTGCGTCTGCTGCCCCAGGTGCTGGTGAGTCTGCTCTCTCAGGTACTACGTCGGCTCAGGCCTTACACACCTTCACCCTTGACTCGGGTGCTTCCCGCTCCTTCTTTCGAGACCGCACCACACTTACGCCGCTTAGTCGGCCGGTTGCGGTCTCCCTGGCGGACCCCTCTAGGGGTCCTGTCCTTGCTAGCTTCTCCACTGTCTTACCGTGCCCGGCAGCCCCCTCTGGCACCCTGTCAGGTCTCTACCTCCCCTCGTTCTCTACGAACTTGGTGAGTGGAGCTGATCTACAGGATAGGGGGGTTGACCAGTTCACTCCTGCGAGTCAGCGGGTGACCCACTGCACGTGTGCTAGGACAGGCCGACACTTGGCCACGTTCACCCGTCGGCCGGGGTCGAGCCTGTACACACTTACTACTGAGTCTCCTCCGGCTACTGAGTCTGGTCAGGTAGCTGCGTCGAGTCAGGTGTTTGCTGCAGCGTCCAGGTCTGGTCCTGAGTCTGCTCCCTGCTCGTGTCGTCTCCTGTCCCACCAGACTCTCCTTTGGCACCACCGCCTTGGTCACCCCTCCCTGCCTCGTCTCCGAGGCATGGCCTTCCGTGTCCTTGTCTCTGGTCTCCTCCGGTCTCTCCCTCCCCTACCTCCGGGGCCTGCCCCTACCTGCGTCCCCTGCGTAGAGGGGCGACAGCGCGCCGCCCCTCACTCCTCCGAGTTTCCTCCG